CCCTGCACACAGGTGTTTTTCCACCCTTCTGCGACCTCTAGCGGCCGGAGTATATAAGCTAGGTGGGTCAAACAAATTGCATCGTTTAGAGGACACTCAGGGCTTCCATTTGCATCATCAATCACCCGCCTACCACCAATAGGGGCGTGGCAATTCACCAAAAAACACTTTGGAATTTAACGTGTCACCCTTTTGCGGCCATTAGCGCCTAAACAGGGTGATCTAAGATGGCGCCAACTATTTGATTCATGTAGCCGCACAGGTGCACGTTAATTAGAGACATCAATCTTAGATATAGGTTGAACAGGTGAGTGGAATCAACAAAAAGTGAAAATTTCAAAATTTCTACTTTTTACCTTTTTTGTGTTTCCAGTTAAGGGGGTATATGAGAGGGGGGGATGAAACCTAGTGGATCACCTAGAGGACACTCGGGGCTTCCATTTGCATCATCAATCACCCGCCTACCACCACCAGGAGCGTGGGAATCCTATAGAATGCACCATGAGTCATTTTGCCCTGCACACAGGTGTTTTTCCACCCTTCTGCGACCTCTAGCGGCCGGAGTATATAAGCTAGGTGGGTCAAACAAATTGCATCGTTTAGAGGACACTCAGGGCTTCCATTTGCATCATCAATCACCCCTACCACCAATAGGGGCGTGGCAATTCACCAAAAAACACTTTGGAATTTAACGTGTCACCCTTTTGCGGCCATTAGCGCCTAAACAGGGTGATCTAAGATGGCGCAAACTATTTGATTCATGTAGCCGCACAGGTGCACGTTAATTAGAGACATCAATCTCAGATATAGGTTGAACAGGTGAGTGGCAATCAACAAAAAAGTGAAAATTTCAAAATTTCTACTTTTTACCTTTTTTGTGTTTCCAGTTAAGGGGGTATATGAGAGGGGGGATGAAACCAAGTGGATCACCTAGAGGACACTCGGGGCTTCCATTTCACATCAACACCTGCCTACCACCACCAGGAGCGTGGGAATCCTATAGAATGCACCATGAGTCATTTTGCCCTGCACACAGGTGTTTTTCCACCCTTCTGCGACCTCTAGCGGCCGGAGTATATAAGCTAGGTGGGTCAAACAAATTGCATCGTTTAGAGGACACTCAGGGCTTCCATTTGCATCATCAATCACCCGCCTACCACCAATAGGGGCGTGGCAATTCACCAAAAAACACTTTGGAATTTAACGTGTCACCCTTTTGCGGCCATTAGCGCCTAAACAGGGTGATCTAAGATGGCGCCAACTATTTGATTCATGTAGCCGCACAGGTGCACGTTAATTAGAGACATCAATCTTAGATATAGGTTGAACAGGTGAGTGGCAATCAACAAAAAAGTGAAAATTTCAAAATTTCTACTTTTTACCTTTTTGTGTTTCCAGTTAAGGGGGTATATGAGAGGGGGGGATGAAACCTAGTGGATCACCTAGAGGACACTCGGGGCTTCCATTTGCATCATCAATCACCCGCCTACCACCACCAGGAGCGTGGGAATCCTATAGAATGCACCATGAGTCATTTTGCCCTGCACACAGGTGTTTTTCCACCCTTCTGCGACCTCTAGCGGCCGGAGTATATAAGCTAGGTGGGAATTTAACGTGTCATCACCTAGATGGGCTGATTGTTTGTGTGTGTCCCACGTATTGCGCTCCGTTTACGCCTTACTTCGTAAGGCGCAAACTGCGCCCTTTATCCGAACTTCTGGTATTCCTTGCCCCTTACCCCCACCCTCCAAATGTGTAAATGTAATTCTTCTTCTTTCTTTTATTTATGTTGATTTTTTTTATATTCTTGTTCTGTTCTGTCCTACCAATTTTCTCTCTATATGCCTGCTGCTGCTGCCTGCCTATTCTGCTATTTGAATATACATACATTCCTATTTCAACAGTAACAAATAAATAATGTGCCCTAAATGAGAATTGAACCTCGTCATTCTGATCGCGAAGCGTAAATGCCATCCAGTTGACCACAGTACGTAAATAAAATTATTTCATTTTCACTCTATATATAGCGATCTAAATGCATATATTCTTATTACAACCATCACCCGTTGACATCAACCAGTTGGTGTAAAACCGTGAGTAACACTGAGCTACCAGTATAATTAACAACCACCAGCCGCGTACAGCAACCAATTGGTGTGAAGCAATGATAAACACTGGGCTACCAGTATAATTAAAAAATGCAATTACAACAGAGATGGCAATATCAGAGAGAGTAAATGAATTCATTTACGTTCTCTAGCAATATGACTAAAAATTCGAATATATCGCAATGATCGAAACGGAGAAAAGGCTATAAATAGACACAAAAAATGTTCTTAAATGAATTATGCGCATGCTGATTTACAATTGCATATAAACAAAAGATAATTTTTGTAATTTAAAGTAATCCTTCATAATTATATAAGAGTATCATTGGTTAATGCCCCAGAAATCACAATAAAATAAGTAATTAATAGATAAATTCTACAACCAATTTTTGTGCGTTGCATGAAAAATATCTTATAGACAAAGGATAGCAATAAAACAATGACTAAGTGACCGCGATTTTGCTTTTGCGGTGGTTCAGGTCGTAAGCGTGAAGGAGTTAAGCCATTCTGAATACGAACGCGAACGTTCAAATCCTGTAAATCATAAATCTTGATTTATATTTTTCTTTTAAATTATTATTTGATATTTTAGCTGATCTAAATTCAGTTACTTAAATACTATATTTTACTTACTGAAATATAATAATTAGAATATTTCAGGAAAATATGTTCATAAGCATATGAAGTTTTTTGAATATTCCCTTATTATGCGTATTTACACAAAAGTGATAATCACACATACATTCTTAAATACACGTACGCTTGCTTCTTCTTGCGCTGCATAAACAATGATTTTTGCCTACACTTTTTGTTTTTGCGAGAAGCAAGCTGAACGATCGCTGGCAATGATGGATCAGGGGCGCACTGTCACATAATTATTTCAGATATTTTTTTATTATCAAAATTATTTTAAAAACGTTTAAATAAGTATGAATTTATGTGTATTTATATTTTACCTAAATATTATAATATTACGTAAATAAGCCTTAAGATATCAGTATTTCTCTATACAAATTAAGCAATATAATAATATGATATAAATCCTCCGTTGAGACGCTTCTGTTCATGTTGGCATGCCATGGAAGTAACGGCGAGTTCGCGCAGAGAATGAATTCTGACAAAACCTTGAAAAAAACCAAATTACAACTTTGCCGACAAACATACATACATGGGATTTTCATAGCGTCGTATTTAGATAAAATGCTCTAAATCGACAAACTATGAAATAATGATAATAAGTAAACATATAAAAGTACTATATGGAGTGTGCTTAGAGTATATAGAAGTAGTTAATGATTTCTTATACATGTCAATTTTATATACATTTTATAATTTAATGCCATATATAGTCCATAATATGAAAAAAATATAAATATTATTTTAACTCGCTAATAGGTCATGTTGCCAATTCTCCTTTCTGAAGAGAGCATCAGACAAATTCTTTAACTTCTGATTTTTTGCAAATGTTGTGAGGAAGCATCTTGTTGGCAACATACAAATGCGAGGGGGATGGTAGGATTTTCGTGATACTAATTGTAAAATTGAATTCCATATGAAGACCAAATTTGGTTGACCAGGCGCACAGAAAAAAGAGCGCAGTACATATTTATAAACGATCGCACTTCGTTTTGCAGCATACGCCCGTTCCTTATGAATGAATTTGTTGTCGTTGTAATATGAAATACTTAGAAAATATGGTGCGAGTTTGCTGGAATCTTATTGCAATTGCAATTTTTCTTTGTCGCTTGCGCGAAATTGATTTTTTTACAAAAGACATATTGAGGGACATACATACATACATATGTACATCTGTTTACATATATGCAAATATATTTAGACATGCGAATGGAGGAAAGGCAATTTCGGGAATATTCACATACAAATTGATTATTTGAAACTAGTAAACGCCAATAGCTGTTTGAGTTCACCGATTAGACACCATTCTTTAATTATTGTCTTTAGTGCTGCTTGTTTAGCACAGCTCGTTTTTTCAAATTCACATCAAATATTTGCCTAAGTTCACTTCCTAGCACAGATGTAGTTTTATTCCTTTTTTAATTTTTATAAACCTTTTGTATTTAATTTATTTTTCAGTTTTTCCTCATTATATAAATGTTCTTCAAAATCTATTATTTCTTTTTGTTATTCTAATTTTCCCTAACACGCATGCCAAAGAACATCGAAGCATACATACCTATATTAGTCGTTAATTTATAAGGTGGTGACAATTTACTTGGTTCCTTGTTAAAGTGTAGTAGTTTGTTGAGTTTGATTATCATGAGAGGAATGTACCTTTTTTATGTGGTGTAATTGAATTTTGAATTTGAATTTGCGCATTTTCGATGTTCCCTTTTAATGGTTTAAATTTTAGCACAGCTAACGTTTGCCCTTCTCTATTTATTAACATTCTCTGGTAATATTGTATATTTCGGAAAGTTAATGTTTTAATTGTGGAAATATAATATTTGTTTCACTAGTTTCTTGGTGCATAGTAAGTCTGACGTCGTTAATAATTTTTCATAGCCGTTCAATTCGTAGTGTGAATAATTTTAAACGTCCCTTTTGTAACCTTTCTTAGTCCTTGTTTGATTGTTACGAGCGGGCTGTCACTGTAGGTGTCTGCGGTCACAGTTGTGTAGTACGGTAAGTCTAAAGGATAAATGCCCGTCAGTTTTTTAAATGCGATTTATGGATCTTTCTGTTATCTTTAGTAGTTATTGTACGGTAAAAATGTCTTTGGTTTTACCTTTATAATTTGTTCTTTTTATATATGGTAACGTCTGGTTTATAATTTTTTATTTTTGACCTATTTTTAATTGTGATATTTTAACAAGTTTTTTTGGTTTCTGGCTATTTCATTTCGGAGGTTAGAATTAACTTATTTAGTCAGTCTTTCTTTTGTAACTGAATATATTTTTATATTGTATCTGTCAACTGCAATGTTGACAATTTCTTTAATAGAGCAATCAGGATATTGCACTTGGAGTCATCTGATTATTTCAACAATTGTGGAATGCACAGGTTCTATCGCACTATTAACTTCCCTTTCTGAGGTGGTGCTAGACAGAACTCATTTCCCAACCCTTCCAAATAATTCAGTTTTGTTGTTGTTCAGCTGCCTTCGTTGCCCATGACTATGGTACAGTAAAATTGTGAAGAAGCTTTATCAGTTTATCTCTAATATGCAATACTGATTCATTTCTCATTCTGAAAGATTTTACAAATTTAGAGAATTTCCATTTTAATTGTCTCAGGTACAAAGGTATGGGTGTTGCCTGTAACTTGGGTTTTTGTGGATTCCGGTCGTACTTATTACATCTGCAAATTTCACATGAATTAGTATATTTTTTAAAAAGTTTAGTGATTTGTGGAAAGTAGTATTTTTCTAATATCTGGTCTTTATTTTCTTTACCATTGCGATCGGCTCTTCTAGAAACATTCAATGCAGTAAAGTATACGATTATAATAATTTAAATACAATTTATTTTCCAAACAATAAAACTTTAATCCATGTTAATGCCTGTATGAGTACCATTAGTGTTGTTATATATATTTATATATTACTGTCAATAATATAAAAATGATTGATAGCTTCTAAATATTTTTTTTGCAAAAAGCATAGTTTCCTCAGTTAGTAAGCCACAATTTGTTTCTTTTACGACACTTTCATTTAGTGATGATTTTAATGGTATTACAAAATTGAAGTATGGATTTGAAGCAATCTTGTAGCTTTCTACTGTTTCATACACCGCCTTAAACAAGGGCTGTTTATTAGAATGGAAGTAACCTCTATTGCCGTGCATAAGTTTTATTCCCTCTACGGATACATTACAAACACTTATATACATGCAATGATCTGGTCGGTAGTTGTACTGACAAGGCAGAAGCAAAAGAGCATCTAAAATAATTATATTCAGTTTTGTTAATAAGAATAAAAATATGTTTACCTGGACTGTAATAAAAGAATATATTTATGATATCTTGATCACCCCACGTGATACGTAGCTTGTACTCATTGTATATGGGAACTATATGTGAGACCCAATTGTGAATGCGCATACGAGTTAGGTTCATTAGCATTACACCCGAATTTACGCCCATACGACCATAGTAAGGATGTCGTGCGAACCGGTTGTACCAACCCATGTTTTCGTCTTCATGTTCGGAGGTAAGAGCTGCAAACTGAGATGCATTAAATCGTCCAAAATATTTCCAAATATCTGATATAGGGGACAAGAAAATAACATCTGTATCCACATATAATACGGAATCAACCTGAGGAAGTAACAACTAAAACAAGATTGAAGTGATAATTTATTGGAATAATTTTATTGAAGATTTAAACATTAAATAAGAATCAAAGAAAACGGAAAAGTGTCTTCCAAAAACGTCATATTTAAATACATTACATTGTGTTGTTACAACACGTATTTTCTCTTACGAGAATATTTTTCGTTATTCGTATTCGTTACTATCAAATTATCTTTATTTATGTTTTTTAAGTCAGTCTTTGTTAATGTTCAATCAAAATATTCGTATTCTGTTATAGCGTAAAATAACACATTTTATATTAGTTGGAATAATTGAAATATTTTTGAATCATTAAAATAAAGCAAAATGTGTGCTAACGACACGACCAAAATAAACAAAAATGTGCAGGCTTTGTTGTATTTTGTAATGTGTTATTAAATGCCTACAAACTTACCGTTGTGTTTTCAAACACATCTAAATATATCGCAAACACAAAAATCTTCAAGTAGTTACTTGCAAAATTGTAAGCGATATACTTTGTGTCTCATGAAACAGCAAGCAGGATTGTCATAAATAAGTAAACACAGGCACAACAAAAAAAGGCAAAGAGTGACAAAAACAAAATATTCATACTTAAGTACCACCCTATTATACATTACAAACTCGTATATATACAAAAAAAAAATAATAATTTCATATAATAAGTACATAATATATACCATACATACATGTATTACATTTTTTTATATTATATACGCACTTCAAATACCAATCGGAAATATTTAATCGACAGTTAAGTGAATACAAATTCACAAAAATTTATTTATACAAACAAAAAATCGGTTCAAAAAAGAAAACATAATTATAATTTTGTGAACAATGTAAATACATATTGGTTCATATATAATATTATATAATACACGTTTGTACAATATCTAAGTTAACATATAATATATTATTAAAGTTACAATAATTACAGCTAAATCAGATTTCAGGAATATGTACATTAAATTCAACTTTTCATATTAATAAAACAGCTGAATCCGAACTTTTGATATATCACATACCACACGCGTATCCGGCGTAATATTGCTATTTGCGCTAAAGTGCTGACTTATTTTACTTAACGCAAGCAATAGCCAATGCTTGCGCCTTTGACTGAGTAAGCAAATAAAGTAACATTTTTGGACTAAACCATGAAGTGAATTAATTTTGTTAATTTAGTATCTGTTACGCAGTGTCCGGGTCCGGTTCAGAAAAACAAAAACGTATTATTATTTAATTTATAATCAAAGTTTATATTGGCACATATCCCACAATACCTCTTGTTATTTGGCAAACAAAACAAGGATTGCCTATATTACATATTCAAATACCAAAGGTGATTTCTGACAAAAAAAGTTCATGTACACCTGCAGAAGCTACACGCTCAAAGCAAGGTGCTGCAAAACAAAAGGATACTGCACTCGATTTTTATCTTCACCGATCAAGACAATTCTGAATCGGGTTAGACGAGTGTGAAGAAACTGAGGCAATGATTTTGGATCAATTAAAACTAATTAAAGCAATTGCACCTTACCCACATCCGAGAGTAGAGGTGCCACAACTACAAAGTCAACAGCAAGTTCGGGCATCCATGTAACACAGAAATTTTTCATAGTCAAAGTATTTGCACTTAATGACGATAATTTCAATTTGGCTTGGGAAGCTCTAAAATGTATATGTGAAAATTAAAAAATATTGGTCGATAATCAAATAGCGATATTAATGAACAACCCAAAAATCCAAAAGAAAACAAGTGAAGAATTTATCAAACTTCAATCCACTGTTTCCAATTGTTGGTCGATTTTATCGACACAAAACATTTCCACAGACAGCCGGGACCCTTTGAAGGTAAATATGTGCACCGCAGCATTAACAGAAAAATCGTTATTGTTGTGGGAGCAATCGCTCTCATCAAGAAAAAGATACCCTTTGTGACAACAAATGAAAGCATTTCTAATTGAAACTAAAAACATTCAACACGACCTAAATCGAAGCTTTAATAGACCCTAAGCTAGGCGCATCAACCATTTGAGTAGAAGCTTTTTTAAAATCGTTCATATCAGAGAAAAAAATATATGTCATGCGAACTATACACAAGATTGCATAAACTACAATCTTGTGAGAAATTTAAACAAATTGCTTGGCACATGCGCATACTTATAAAAATTACAAAAGCAAATTCAATAGCACATACATATAGTAAAAAAAGACATAATTCTATGCTTCATATTAGAAATATTTTCAGCTCACTTAATAGCGCTAATGTTACCATGCTGCTCAAACGCATTAAAAACTCAAACGCTACACACCAAACTACAAAGTAGGGCATTACTACCCACAGCAATCGTCTCCATCGAACAACGAGGAGAACTGTTTAAACTTAGGGCCTTAATAGAACAAGAATCACAACGATCATTTATAGCGTCTAGGGCACAAAATAAGCTGTAACTGCCAACAAAACAAGACATTTTTGAGATTATGGGAATGACCGGAATAGCTGTTCAAAACTCTAATAAAATTTGCTTCATTACCCTAATTTCCCTCCAAACGCATAAGCGAATTAAAGCAGACGCTATAGTTTTGCCGCAACTCACTAACATGCTTCCAAGCTATCACGTTAAAGCATTGGCAAATGGTTTCACACCTAAAGATTGGAAAATCCTAAATGCAACACCTCGCTCAAATAGATAATCTATTAGGCGATCTCATACCACAGATAATACTCAAAGATGTTGGGAAAATTTGGAACACACTTTTGGCACAAAACACTATTTTCCATGTAAACTAAATACATTTACCACCATGACAACTCAAGTTGTCGAAATCTCAAACGAATACCTCAATTCACAATTAAGAATCCCCCTGAATTACAACCCCAAAAGATCAGTATTCTGAGGAATTTTACAAACCCACAATTGTTCGATCAGATAAGGGCCGGTATGGTGTTTGACTACGTTAAAAGAACTTCCCCATCTCAATTACAACCCCAGTAGATCAGTATTCTGAAGAATTTTACAAAGCCACAACTAGTAATGGCCGGTACATCGTACGACTACCACTAAAGCCAGAATTTTCCCACACACTCGCCTTAGATCATTCCCGCTCCTCTGCAATACAGCAGTTTTTAAGTATGGAAAGGCGAGCTCAAACCAGAATATGATAGGATCTTAGAAGAATACCTCCTTTTAGACCACATGGAAGAAGTCAGTTCTGGCGAAAAAATCATACAAAGTAAATATTACTCATTTTACCAGACACATCATGCAGTAGTAAAGCCAGACAAAAACAAACAAAAGTAAGAGTTGTATTCAATGCCTCAAAATTTACAAGTTCGGGGAATTCCCTAAATTATATTTTATTTACTGGACCCACGCTCCTGTCAGATTTAATGCTTCTTATTTTAAATTTGCATATATACAAATACGTATTCAATGGGGATGTAGAAAAAATTTATCGACAAATAGTCGTACATATAGACGACCATGTCCTTTGTTACCTTTGGCGTCAACTGTGCTCCATATGTAGTCATTCGAACCCTCCACGAATTGGCTGAAAACACAAAGTCAGAATTTCCTCTGGTATAACGATATTATATCTGGAAGTCCGTCTTCCACAAGCATACCAATCCTTATCTCAATAAAGGCCCTCAAATCCGCAGGGTTCCCATTAAAAAAGATTACGGCCAATCACCCAAATATATTTAAAAATATACCAAACGAGAATTTGTTGGATACTAATTTCCTTATATTCGAAAAGGAAAGTACAACAAAAACTCTGGAGATTCAATGGAATGTGATATCTGACCAGTTTTCATACGCTACTAAGTCAATATCTGCATTATCCGCCATAACAAAAAGACAATTTCTGGTCTGGGTGGCAAACTTTTCGACCCCGCAGGCTTTCGCCAATTATGATATCAGTGAAAGTACTAATAAGAAAAATTATAGCTAAACGGAATCGACTAAGTCGGACAGGTTAAACCACTTCGTTTAGTGGTCCCAGTTCGCGAGCAATCTAAATGATATCTCACAGATACATATCCCACGATGGATAAATAATGCCCCACAGCACAAAGTTGAACTGCTTCTGTGACGCCTCTGAAAAGACATATTGCGCCACTATACCATCTCACACAAAGCGACACTGCTACTATAACCCAGTTACTAGTAGAAAAAGCAAAAGTGGCTTCTATAACAACAATAAGTATAAAACGACTTGAACTATGTGGCGCGCTTCTACTTTCCAAATTGACATCCATGGTGCAAATGCATTTATACATGGCAATATACAAATTATATCTGTGGTGTGATTCCGAAATTGTACTAGCCGGGTTGGAAAAACCGCCACATGAACGGAAGGCGTACATTTCTAATCGAACGTCACAAATATTTGCCCTAGTAGCACCAGCCACTTGGCGACACGTAGCCAGTGCTGGCAATCCTGCCGATCTAGGTGCAAACCGCTGCACCTTACCACCACCACTCTCTAGTGGAATGGCCCCATGGTTAATTGCCCTTGAAAGTCGAAAAATCTACTCCTTTCACACAACATTGGATGATACAGATATCCTCGAGCGATTTTTATCGTTCCCCCGAACCCTCAGAGTAATTGCATATATGCTAAAGTTCATAGAGCGCGAGATATCATGGCTTAGAGAATCGAAGCCGATAAAAAAGACCTCACTCTGAAGGCCCAGTTATGCATACATAGCATAACATTGTCATATATGAGAACTGTCACATAAAGAATATGCCTAATAATATGACATAGAAATCTGTTGAATTTTGATTTCTATGTTGTGTGACATTTCAGATAGAGAAATCGCTGCTCTATTTTTGTCTCTTCTCTCATTGCTTCTGTTGTGATACTTCAATTTGACATTTTCATTTATAATATTTCACATTTGCGTGCTCTCACAAACAATAAAAAATAGCTAAATTTCTATGCGCTATGTGAAGTATAACTGCGGCTATGATTCACATGCCTAACGAATAACGAACGCCATCCCATAATAATACCAGAGAAGTCTCTACTTGCCACATTACTCCTAAATTATATCCACATACTTATGCTTCACGCCGACCATCTTCTAATGCAACATATGGTTCGCCAGAAATTTTATATTCCCCGATTTAATACAAGCAGAAGATGCGAACGCAGATAATGGCAGCTCTTTCATCGGAACACTGCAACTTTGCTCTGCCTTTCTCCATTACTGGTGTCGATTTTGCTGGGCCTTTTCATATAAAGGCGCCCATACTAATGTCTTCCTCCCTAATGAAAGGCTATGTGGCTGTCTCTGTCTGTTTTACGACAAAACCAGTGCACCTTGAGCTATGTACGAATCTGACAAATGAGGCTTTTCAAACAGAAAAACAGTTATCGACTTTGTAAAACAAGTCTCACCTGAGATTATACAATCGTACGCTTCCCATGGCATTATTTGGCAATTTCTATCAAGAGTATAATATGTATGAATTCGGCATATGCAAATAAGATATTGGAATCAATGAAAATGTTACCACCACACAGTTCAGTAACATGATTCAATTTCATACTTAAAAAAACAATCTGTCTTCAGGACTTTAATTCATAAAATAACAAGAAAAAACGTTAACTTCGGTTGCACCGAAGCTATAATACCCTTCACAGATACAAAGGTTCCTTACAATAACTTGATTCAGATCTAGTTTCGTGAATCGGCAATTAAAAAAAAAAAAATTTTTCCATGCAGGCACTTTACTCCGAATTTTTTCGGAGATTATATTCTTGGCTTAGAAAATAACTCATGCCAAATTTCGTCAAGATACCTCGTCAAATGAAAGAGTTTTCCATACAAGCACTTGATTCCGATCGTTCAGTTTGTATAGCAGATATATGCTATAGTCAACCGATTTATACAATTTCTTTGGAGATTCCATTGTTGCCTTAAATAATAATCCATGCCAAATTTCGGGAAGATACCTCGTCAAATGAAAGAGTTTTCCATACAAGGACTTTACTCCGATCGTTCAGTTAATATGGCAGTTATATGTTATAGTCATCCGATCTGTTCAGTTTGTATAGCAGATATATGCTATAGTCATCCGATCTATACAATTTCTTCGGAGATTACGTTGTTGCCTCAAACAATAACTTATGCCTGATTTCGTGAAGATACCTCGTCAAATGAAAGAGTTTTCCATACAAGCACTTGATTCCGATCATTCAGTTTGTATGGCAACTATATGCGATAGTCATCCGATCAAAACAATTTCTTCGGGAATTACATTGTTACCTTATAAAATAACTCATGCCAAATTTCGTGATGATATTACGTCAAATAAAAAAGTTTCCCATACAAGGACTTGCTTCCGATTGTTCAGTTTGTATGGCAGCTATATGCTATAGTGGTCCGATATCGGCCGTTCCGACAAATGAGTAGCTTCTTAGTGAGAAAAGGGCAGGTACAAGATTTCAGATCGATAGCTTTAAAACTAAGGGACTAGGTTGCATATATACAGGCGGATGGACGCAAGGACAGACGGACATGGCTAAATCAACTCAGCTCATCATGCTGATCATTTATATATATATTTTATAGGCGTGGCAAACTTAATATATCAAGTTCAGTGTATAAAAATCAACCGTTGTTTTATTTTTAATGATGATGATTATAACTGAATGCGAATAGAATGTAAATCGTACAAAATCATCAATATGTAAACAAGAAATTCATGAGAACAAAAAAAGATTTTTTGATTTTATGGTTTAAAAATTGGGGTCAGCTTTAGAATACCGTCCTCGGGTTTCGGGGATAAAAGGGGTATGGGCGAATGGAGGAGGTCTTCCAGATCAAGAATATATAGATATATCTGCTATTTTTGCATCATATAATATAAAATAAATGTCTAAAAACTAATTAGTAAGGTGTTAATGGATATAGAAGTATATAACTCTTTTTAAATCGAAAAAATACGTACTTTAAATAGTTGAAATTTTCAACTTTAAACGTAAATATGCCGAAAACTATAAGTTTCCCGCGGCTATATCCGCCCATACCCATTTTTTCCCCAAAGGCCTGGGACGGTATTCGAAAGTTTTCCCAAAAATTGTTTCCTAAGAGAAAGCACGCTCCGAAGTAACACAATATTGAATCATAGATCAGTATCCACAAAAATTTCAAAGTACTCTCTGGTTATATTGTTTTAGCGGAGTATGGTACCCCTGTTTGGAGTTTGGAGTAGATTTAATTTCATCGAAATTGGACCATAAGGACAGCTTACAAATCTCGGGTGTGTAGATGTGTCACGGCAATTCGTGGGCTCTACGTTACTCTACGACCCAACCGCAATATTAATCCGGCATAGTTTTTGACCATATTACTTCACAAATTATTAATCCTAATTCGATTATTAGATACTCCGCTAAAACAACAACTGCTTTGAAAAATGCTCATAAATCAAAATATGTCGAGTTAATACATTAACATTATTTACCGGCAAAAACAGCCTCTGTGATGAACAAGGTTTAAAAAGAAATTGCCACTCTTTTTGATGGTTTTGGGGAAATGTCAGATTCAGTACATCAAAATCAAAATGCACTAAATTTCGCCAATCATTTAACCGCTCAACAAATTCATTTATTAGTTTATCCTCGGAAAATATCCAGAAATGCAAATTACTTCCATCATATTTGTTAAAAAGGAGAACTGATTTTATCATCACAAGCGATTCCCATAGCCGATGGCCGCACACAACCAAAGCTATGTTGTAACATTGACGAGATCTTGAAATAAAACTTTAGATATTTATATATTTATAGATTAAACCGTGATATTTAACGACATTCTTACTTACGCATACCAATCTTTATTAGAACGTGTGTTATTGGTTACCGAAGTATTAAAATTTAAACTGTTTCGATTAAAGACTATATAAAAACAGGTTATTATTAATAGAAGAAACATTACACTTATAATTCTTATTCGCATATTTTAAATTTTTTCTGGAGTTGTTCGTCTTGGTTAATAAATAAATATACAACATAGAATTGCAAAACACTATGGGACTATCGATAGTGTCGATAGTTTTATTTTAGTCTCACTATCGATAGTAATTTATTTTGACTGTCGATGGTTTATGCTTATTTATTAAATAATGTTGAATGGAAACAAATTAGTAATTAAAACAAAAAACAAAAACATAATAGAACCATTAAAAAATTAATCATCGTAATATTAAGAAGCAGTTCGGTCAAGAGAGCAACACATCTTAAAAAAAATTATAAAATTTTGAACGTAATTTGACAAAAAGAAACGTATGAGTTTATATTTACTTAATATTTAGTTGAGTATCCATTTTGGGAAATTACGGATGTACATCTTCTCGGCATTGATAACACTAAATCCGCGCATGTCATTGGAAATTTTCTGACTTTCCTGTTGAATAACTGCCCATAAATCGTACATTGTCTTCAGTTTCAGTGCCATGACTCGCCTCGTCTGGACTCTGTGCCATTTCAGCAATGGAATTGCCTGGTGTTGAAGCCACTGAATCACAGACCTCGACTTATGGCAGGGTGCATTGTCCTGTTGGAAAACTGCTATGGTGTATACAGATAACAGTAAATGTTCCACAATCGGTACGAGATAGTTTTCTAGTATGCTACAGAATATATCTTGCCCGTTATCAGCACAATAGGACCAACACCATACTTGGTAAAGCCACCCCACACCATAACACTTCCCCCACCGGGTACTAACAATCTTCTTGGTATACTTCTGGTCCAATTTTTTATTTGGGGGTGTCGAACATAAGTTTTTCCATCAGGCCCGTGTAAGTTGAATTTAGATTTGTCGCTCCAAACTACAGAATTTCAGAAGGAAAGAGTAGAATCCCTATGCAGTCTGATAAATTCCAATCGCGCCTTTCGATCATTGTGTGAAACTTTTAGACATTGGCATGCCCGAAGGTTTTTTTTTCCAAAAGTAGCTGTCTAAATGTCCTGCTGGCAATGTTTACGCTATATTCATCGTACACTGAAGCTCGTATTTGCGAGGAAGTTCCAAAAGGATATTTAAGCGCCTGCCGAACAATGAGTGAATCTTCTCTTTTTGTGGTCTTTTTGCGTCTAGATCTCTTTTTATTTGCAAATGTTTTATTCTCACAAAAATATCTGGGAGCGTTTTGAATTTCTAATGCAACGATAAAAATCACTAATTTTTTTTCCGTCCTGGAACATGTTCCATATTAATCGCCTTTCCTCTTCAATGGGGCTCTTGGAACGTCCAATTTTCAATATTTCACACTGATGTCTATTAAAAATTTTACTTACAACTAATCTCAAAGAAAAATCACAACCATAAACGCAAACGAATTACGAAAAACTTCTCTGATGGCACCGTGTGCTAATTAAAATGCCAGTCTGAATCAAATGCTTTTATGAAGTAAAGGCATACTTCTTTGAAAACGATCCCAAAATTTTCAGTAATGCGTTCATAACGACAAAATAACAACTTATTAATATACAAGAAAAGAATGTTCTAAAATACCGTTTTTCAAGCAGTACTATTGGAATAGGTAAGCGTGCGCTAATTAGTGTGCCACCGGTGTATGTCTTATGGAAAGGTCATAGGATATTTATTATTAAAAACAAAATATATTTTTTACGAATTGTGAAAAAAATATTTTGGCAGATCATATCTGTTTGTAAAATAAATTTGAAAGTTGAAAAAAATTATTTTATTTTTTTAACAACTCAGCAGGATCAGGGACTCTGCGCTTTGTTGAAATCTCACATGTATGAGTTGCCTAGACGAGAAATAATAATTAACCCACCAATGTGTTCCATTTTAAGCCCAAAAGGGAAGATACAACAGTTTTCCTGCATTGCACAGGGCATGTGCCAGTCGCTGCACCGATGCACCTTTTAGTATTTTAACGGTTCGAATGGTTCGGCTACGTTATCAAAACATTTTCAAAGTAATTTGCAAAACTCTTCAAACTGGTATTTCTGTTGCAGAACATTCGTACACTAGTCGCGCATCTCAATGGCTTATGGGCAGGTTCATAAAACTTAATGCATGCAGCGAAACATGAACAGTGACCTTAACAGTAAGTAACGATAATAATCACACCTAGGTAGCTGCCGTATGGTTAAGAAAACGGGATATGTGCATTGCCGGTAACTGCTTCTTATTATAATAGCAAGAGACCTTCTACACCTCCTGATAGCCACCTGAGTGTATTACTCTAATTGAGGGAAAGCGGTTGCATTGACTACTTTGCAAATTTTTGCCAACATAAATGCTTCCTGGTACGTCGAATTATGTATTAGTCAAACGACTTTAACCGTTTACATATGTATGCCTCCATCAGATAACGGGATGGATAACAGATACAATGAGATTAACCAAATGGCCAACCAAAGATGTAGTGAGGCCAATTGCGCCCTTCGCCAGCGGCATTAGATTCCAATGTTGATGATGATTTCAGAAAAGTTTGGTCTGTTTCTTGCCTTGCCTGTTTATGGAGAAGTGGACCTGCCGTAACACTTATAAAGCCAATAATTTGCATCAACATTGTTTTTTTTCATCAAAACACGAAATGAGCGAATAAGCAAATAAATAAATAAAACATTTATTATGTCAGTTTTCATTTTTCTATGTCTGTTCTATTCAACCTGCACTATCTGCCAGGCATTAAAAAATAGTTGTTACTAATAAGCAATTTTTGTGCCAAATAAAGTTTTTGCCTATAATATAGAATCACAACTGAGTAAGTAATTGAATCAAACTATAAACTTCTCTTACTGTATATACATACGTAAATTGATAATTTAGCTCAATTAATTACCGTTTATTTGTATTATAAACAAACCTTTGTTTTTTTTTGTAATAAGCAATTATAATTATATATTAACCATGTTTACTCAATCCATTCTACATGAATAATAAACAAATTCTAAATATGCAATTATTTCAGCTTCGAAAAAAGATTATGAGCAGCGCAATGATCCAGCTCCGTAACATAATCAAAGAGTTCTTCCATACAGGTCTCGGTTGTTTTAGATTTGCCATTTACTCTGTCATTGCATTCTTGGTATTTGCTATACAAAGCTTGTATGTTACCATTATTTTGACACTTTTCCTGTAAAGATACGAATGTTTCACAGATAAATTACAATTAGTCTTTGTATATAACAGTAACATATTTCCTCCAAATTGTAGTAGTGTTCAATAATTTATTCAGTTATACAGTTAATTTTTCTTATCATGGATTTAGCGCAACACCAGTTTGATTTTCTGCATACAATATTAAAATTATATATCATGTAGTATTAATGCTAGTGTAATACAAGTCAATCAATATTGAAACCAATATGTATGCGCAAAATCAATATTTATAAGCACTAAAATATGATTACCTATAAAACTGCAAGGCAACATTCAAACAAATTTGTATAAAAAAATAGTCAGATTTAGCCAATATTAGAGAAATTGTGTCATTACAACGCCAGGCAATGCACATCGCTAGTGACTCACTCTGGAAACTAGGTTGGGAGGTCCTAGAATCCACTTTATAATCCAGAGCTAACAAACAAAAGATAACTACATGTGATAACTAACTAAACTAAAATGTGGTCCTATCTGTGGTGAATGATTTTGCCCTAAGAGATGCTATATAAGAGGCGGTTCCGCTTCAGGTAGACGACTGCAAGGGTGGTTTCTGCGAAAACATCCCAGCAGGAACAGTTTGGAGAGGAGCTCATTATGTTCCTTAACCGGAAGCATGCGGGCCTCACTGTGTAGGTGTTTATTGAGGACATCAAGAGGGATCCCGTGATAGTCCTGAGTGCAGTGTTTTGACATGTCTGGAGCTTCCTCGTCTGAAAGCTGCACAACTCAGAAGACCTGAGCGGCTGTTTAGCTTGGTTTCTTGGTCAGACTGGGAGTCATGCTGCTCCTTAGGACCGTAGAGGTCTTTTCTTGATCACTCGACTGGAGTGATGGCGCAGTGCTCGAACATGGTGCAGATTGCACAGCCGTTGAGGCAGGTGTCGCAGTAGTGCGTTAGCAGCATGGCGCCACGTAACTCGTGGATAACAGCATTTGGCCGGATAAAATCCGGGTCAATTCCGGTAACGTAGAACCGGCTGTTGTGGGAATTGATTAGAATAGACCTCTCATAGGGTGGTTTTTGAAGAGGTAACAAATTATCCGGGCATTTATAACGATAAGTGTTGTGGTGAAGCTGTGCGTAGGTCCTTCTGGGTCGTTGGATTTAGGTGATTTTGCCCTATTGATGACATCTTTAACCTCCTCCTCGGTAAAAACAACTGGCGGTATTTTGCCTTTTTCACAGAAGGGTGCGGTATAAATTGAAGAATAAAATAGTCAGCGCACTGTGATCAACCTGGCGAAAGATTTCGCGCTCTTGGGGAAAATAATGGCCGATTTCCACAATTCTGCCATCAGGAATGAATGAAATGGTAGCAGCAGTATGCTAAGTGCGCCAACGATTACATCCGTAGGAGTGGGGTCTGTTGCGAATGTGTTCTCATTTAATTCTGAAAAGCCAAAACGGAAGGTTATCCACAAAAACAAAGTCAGGTCTCTATAGAGATATATATGGGTAATCCATCCCACAATCACCACTAGCTATGGTAAGATCAGGCAACTATTATATGTGCCTATAATTCTGGGAACTTTGCCATTTATTCTGAGCAATGTTTCAAAGTTTTACGTATAAATAGGAGGATTGATAATGGTGAAGCCATATCCTTCATACTGCACAAAAATTTGAAATATGCTATTATCGATGACAACATCGACGCAGAGATACTATCGTAGAATGTCAGATTATAGCTATCCGGTCAGGAGATGTCGAGTTCGAAATAGTTAGGTGCGATGGTTCGTTGGACCGTTTGGTGCTAGGCGACTTTAACGTGCATTACGATCTTTGGCACTCCAGGATGTGAAACTATCGTAGGTTTATAGAGCTGACTGTTGTTGTTGCAGCAGTTATCTACACCTCGTTTAGGCTGCAAAACTCAAGTTAGTTGTCACCGAAATTATCTAACGATCATCGAAAAATAACACATTTTAGACTTGAATTTTAAGCTATAACTGCATATGTTCTTCTTCTGGCGATCCTCCTCTATTTAACCATAGACATTTTGGTGTACATTTTTAAAAAGTTTACTTTTCGCTCACCGATTTGTAAACTTCGCGTCAAAATAAGACGATTTCAAAAAAAAATGTACACTTTTGAGGCCACTTTCGTTGAGGGACGTAAATTATACATTTACCGATATTTTAACCCGGAATACGGCTGATGCTATTCTAAATCTCAGCTCTCTTAAAAATAATAATTATTGGCTGATCGAGGCTCTTTATATTAGTATTAGATAGTCCTATAAATTTAATCCTCTATCACCCTGTAGTTACTTTAACCACGAATTCGTGGATTTAACTCTATTATGTAATGGCCATACTCATGCACTGCAGTTGAAACTTACTTGTATGATAGGTACAATACTGTTGACTGTAAAAATTTTAGCTTTCTATCAAAATGAAAAACATTTCTCAATGATAATATATATAGATATACGTATTAGCTTCAATGAATACATCAAATATTTACCCGAAGGGCAGTTTGAGGATCAACTAATTCAGCTTCTTCATCTTCGGCTTTAACTGTAGGAAACACCACACTGCGAAAGAAGCTAAATAGAGCCATATTCAGTTTACTATAATTCTTATTACGAAATGAATTAACAAATTTATCTCCTGAATCCAATGTAATTCAATAATGATGCAACATATCTCTGATTAATTTTAAAATTTTAATATCAATTCTCGATAAACGATAACCTTTACCTGAACGTTACACGATCAAGAAATTGCTTTTAAGTTTTAATACGCTCACACTTTTCGAACTTGAAAGCCGTCTTGATATCAATTTTCTCATTAAAGTCGAGGGGCAAGTTGACGATCAAGTTTGAACAGCTGTTCACATAGTTTTGCAAACTTTGACAACAATTGTCGGGAATAAAAATATTTCGTTATATTCATGGATTGGTATCAAAATATAGGCATATCAATCCATTATAGTAATATTTCATGCAAAATTTTTAAGCATTTTAAGCGGCTTCCATGACAAGAATCTTAAATTCCCACAGCAGCCGGTTCTACGTTACCTGAATTGACCCGAATTTTAACCGGCCAAGGGCTGTTATTTTGGCGATCTAACCCTGTTTGGATTGGTAAGTTTTAGTCTAAGTTTGTTGTCCTTAGAGCAACACCTAGCAGCAGGGTTGCTCCGTATCCTCCTGACCCGTGCTCCAAATCGAGTGACCAAGAAAAGACCTCCACGGTCCTCAGGAGCTCACACAGACAGCATGACTCCCAGTCTGACCAATGCACCTAATATACAATACTTCCAGTTACATGTTGCCCAACGCGATTTTACTCAAATATTGGTGCGCTGCTTCGTTGTAAGAATCGGATAGAGCTGAACAATTCAATATTCTGCACAATGAATGAACCACCAGAATTATGGGCACCCTGATATAACAATCACTAGTGGTGGGCATAAACAGCATTACCTGCTGACCTATGCTAACTTTTGCATCAGACCATCTGCCCATAAATATCTTGATTGAAAAATCTGCCGACATTACTGCTGTGGACAACCTACGTTAACTTTAATAAAGATGACTTGGTCGGCTTTACAGAATTCACTAAAACCACCTTCATTGTATTACGCATTCATACGGACGGAAGAATTCAACAATTACGACCAAGTTTTCAAGCCGATGCAACAACTTTAGCAAGTGAGCACGACTTCTTACGCCTGGTCGGTCTTTGTGATCCCCGCATATCTTAATTTGGAGATTCGAGAACTGGATAATCATAAGGGGACGATATGGGTGGAGCACATGAAGTTCTGCAACGTCTTCGTCGTAGTGAGCAAGCTTTGGACTATTGACAAATCTCTATCCAATCCGGGGACACATGACCAAAATCGTCTCGAAATTCAGTAAAATATTTTTTTTTTACAGCTCATACCCATATGCACTTTTGATCGGTCTCAATTTTGATATAAACTAAATTTTTTGAATTTACCAGGTCTTGCACAAAGTAAAATTAGAACAAAGTAAATCCGCCTGATAATTTCATTTCTGCAAATGTCTGCTCTTTTCATCGCCTATTCGACAGAAAAAGTCTGCGTAGACGCTTATATCTTATATATATACCATGTATGTGGGTATGTGTTGTGAAATCGCCCGAATTGAAACAACACACTCTTCCATACAAAGAGTAACGAAAATACAAACGATTTTGTATCTCGGCCCGTCCAGGGCGGCCAAAAATATTAGCACAGCGTGAAACTTTTAACGTTTTGCAAAGTGTGAAGCAAAGCCCCTGACTTATTGCATCCAAAATCGCTCAAAAATGTTCATGGCCAAGATGCACGCAGGAAGTATTTCAAACCTCTTGGCAACGGACAATTGGTTAATGCTTTTGCGAAAAAGACGGCACGGCACTCGCTAAGGAAAACTTGATGCATACTGTGAAACATGGTGGAGATAGAACAATAATATGGGGGTACATGGCAGGTAATGGTGTGGACCGAATCGAATTTGTAGAATGGACATATATGCACCTTAATATATTGAAATGACTACTTTTTTCAACAGGATACCGACCTGAATTAGTTAAGCTTTGGTCTATCCCATGTGAAAGCCCTTGCTTAAGTTTACAAACGGGGGATAGCCGACTTCCTATAACATTTAAAAAAAAATTATAGTCCTTGTAAGCAGACTTTTTCTAATGGATTTCCTAGACGTTCGTATACATACGAAATATGCTTTAATTCATATAAAATAAATTGGATTTTATAAAAATCATATAGAAGCCTTTTTCCCAACGAGTTATTTTTGTTGGTACCATGTACGCAGACGTTTTCTGCCTAGTGTATATATATTATAAACATATATTTTCAAAAATTTGTGAGTCCTGAAACAGGAAATATAATCAAAAGCTATAAGTAAATACAAGTATATTATTTTTAAATTTAATTCAATAAGAGTACTTACCCCGGGAGATTTATTAAAATAACCATGAATATATAAGTGGTATATATACATATACTTGTATATCGCAAAAATACGCATCATATAAAATTCAAGATTCAGTTTTTCACTATCAATAACAAAATTTGTATCAATATGAGTAGTTTCTATTTTATAAATATATTTATTCATAAATACAAACATGCTACTTTAATTATTATATACATAATTATTTTTAGAAACAAAATATGCGTTAAATATAATCGTGTAATGTTTAAATGTAGTGCTGTTCTTCATTGCAAAGTATATTTTCCTCCTTGTAATATATTAAAGCAAGTGCAGCATACACGGGTGGGTTTATTCAAACCAAATTTAAGTATTGGAACATCGTTATTGGAGCATTTGGAGCATAAAACTCGTCCGCAATGACGGCTAAAACGTAAAAATATATTTATTTTAATAATATTCTTACATTATGTATATGTATTACATCATATATCTTCGATTCGGCATTTCTCTGCTCGCTATCTTGTCAAAAAATTTACACAACAAAATTATTAGGTTGAATTCAGACAAGAGAGTACGCGGATACTCATTAAAGTGTTATAACCGTTAACTTCAAGATATAAAGTTTTGTTTTACACATTTTAGACCAGTTTTACTATTGTGAATGGTTCATATGACAAATTACTTTGAAAAATAAGAATACAAACATTTTTTATTGATTTTCAAAAGGCTACAACATATTACAAAAATATTTTTTTGTCTTCATTAAAAAAAAAGTGTAACACTAATACACATACGTCAGAGAATTTGATAGCGCAGGGTTTCAACGCAAGTGCTAAACTGGCAGTTTGAACAACTGGTAAGTTTGTTCGATTCACTATTCTCTAATTCTCGGCGAATCGAAGATAGCTTATTTTTTATTAATCAAAATCTTTAAATTTTCTCTGGTATATTAGTAATATAATAAAAAAAAAAAGTATTTAAAATGAAATTAAAAAAATTATATATTATATAGGTATACTGCTTTGTGGTTAGTGCTCGCATGGACTTCTGTGTACACGCGGGTATACCTAATCTAAAAACATTACAGCTAGCAACCGAACCGCCGTTGTCGAAATAATAATATATGCTGACCGGCGACGGTATACGATGTGTGATTTGGGGAGAAATTTTAAAGTGAAGAAAGTAATAATTAAATTGTTGACCAATTTGACATGTTAACCTAGCAATGCTAACAAATCATGTTAAAGTAATGTTAAAATTAAGATCTTTAAAGTTCAAGCGATGCGAGCTAGTTTAAAAGTGTTTGCAATAAAATGAGAAAACTTAACTTCTTTTAACAGTTTTTATTGGGAAATGCTACTTTAAAGACTTGCTATAAAATGAAAAGAATATTAGCATATAATAAAAACTGTTTTCAATGTAAATCAAATAATCTGGATGGACTAATAAGTGAACACACATTAGCAGTTAGACAAATACGACACTGAATTAGGAACAAACTGGTGTGAAGTGAAGTCGAAGACAACTTTAAAACAGAGAGAAAAGACATTTACAGGTATAATTTTAGCCTTCCTACCCCGTTATGTTCTACAATTTCTGATTCCGAGTTATGTTTATTATGTAATTACTAATAAATTATTCACTAATACCTCAATTTTACTTTCACCTAAGTATGATTGGCTATTGATGAAAATATTTACTGATGTTTTACTACAGTATTTCATGGGCGGAAATCCTCTTGGCTGTATCCTCCTTGCGTGTGCTGACTGGACAATGGACGTCGCAGCTGTCACCGTCACGACTTGGCATCTGCACTTTGTTTTTAGAGCAGATCTTGGTGGTGCGAGTAGGCAGGCGCCTATCTAAAGCAGGGGTACATATTCATCCTTCTCTTTCTGGTGACTTACTTTGCATTTTGCAAAGGTTGTAATGCTACCGCTTAACAACGTAGAGGTGCCAAAGTCCATAAAGCTCCTTAAAAGATAAAATCCTGATATGCCGAAGGAAGATTGGAGGTCACCAACTTTGGCAAGGAGGATGGCAGCCTAAACTACAACTTCCAAATAAACAAGTCTGGTAGTGTGTCCCACTTCACACGCAAGTTAGCTGAAAACAGTAAGTAATAAAATAAAATAATAAAGAAGCAGGAAGGTAAGGTAAGGGTAAGCCGGAGAGCCAAACCGACCGCGAGCAGAAACCCGAACTTAGTAAAGATTCTTTGGATAAACCTGCATAAGAGTAAGGTCGCCTCTGCCGAACTCCTTTCTAATTTAGAGAAAATTGGCTACGACGAAATTTGGCGCTAACCGTAAAGTATGGCTAAGATGAGACACTAAAAAGCATTACCGGTAGAACCACGGAGGTTGGTAGATGCCGCTTATAAGCGAAAAGACTCCTAGTGATAGGCGCAAACCCTAATGTTCACCACACAGTATGGGTTAACGGAGATAACAACGAGAGGGGTGAGTTGTTAATTATACACACTGATAAGAAATTCGCTAGAGCTAACTAGGGGAGGAACTAATATATATTGCCCCTATCTCGAAGAACGTTCTAAATGTAACACAACACAAACCATTTAAATACCCTTATATGGGCAAAAACTAATCGAACTGTTAAGGACGTATTTTTCCAGCAATGATGCAGAATGTATCAACAGCGCTGGTTACTTAATGATAATATATTAAGGATGTTTAAGGCTTAAATATGTACATATTCTTTGTATAGACGCGAATGCCGTATTCTTATAGAAACCAGGCGAAGGAGTCCCCCTTTATTCGCAAGAATATATATTATTATATCTAACCTCATTCCTTCTAGAGACATTCGAAAAGGTTTTAGACGCGCACATTAGAGACAAGCTACTATTGGCTAACATATCGAAAGCACATCACGGCTATGTGAAGGGTAGATTCACTGAGACTGTACCCTGGTACTCTTTACAAGGAGATACAAAATCCAGACTTCAAAACCTCCGAAGCTTAACGGGACTAAGTTAACAATTAAGGAGCATACTTGTACCTGGGAGTAATTTTGGATATCAAACTGGAAACTCAATGTCGAAAATTTGCAAAATCAGCTGCAAGATTGGCGGCTTTGGATGAATTCTCAACAAGAACCTTCGGGCATAGCTCGATAAGCAAGCGTTTGGTTGATAGACCACATACCTTCACAATTTATCTGAAAAAGAAGGTTTAAAAATAACAGGAAACAAAGGTGAAACTTGCGACGTCTACTCAGAAGAATCAAAAATAGCTAATAAAGTGAACATCGGTGTCTATTGCTCGGAGAAATAGCTAATGAGTTTGCCAAAAGTGCCATCCATCTGCATCAAAGGCCCCGAAGAAAAACACGAACAGACTCACGCTGTCTCGGAAAGGCTGCAGGGCGGTTGTTTGTCAGGTCATAGCTTACTGGCATCACATGCGAGTCAGACGGGTATTAGTAGCGATGATACATGCAGAAAGTCGAGGAGCTTCGCAGTTCAAGGGACTAGACGAAGTATCAATATTAGATATCAAGTCCTGTATGACAAATACTTTAGCTTAATTAAACTGAACCCATATATGGGATTACAAGGATCAGTATATCTATGTATGGCATGACAGCCGGCCGGTATAACCTAAATAACCTATTACTGTATTTCGTTACATGAAACCCAAAAAGCCCTAAGTTACAAAAAAATTCAAAATAGACTTTTTAATTGATTACCATGTCATAATACATCTTCCTTTAAAATTGTTTAATCCAACAACCATTAATACCGTTGCTATAAACAAAATGCAAAAAGCCCTAAGTGTAATCGTAACAAATTTTCCAACCAAGACAGTAACTTACGCCTTTAGAGAAATAATAAACAATATAATTTTTTGGGTAGTTGCATGCAGCCCTTTCGTACCATTTCCACTGTAAAATTTAATGCTTTTTGAGGGGTTGTTTATTGAGTCATCGTAATTTTAATAGTTTTCAACATAACTGTAATATGGACTTATTCTCAAGCAACTTTGGTTAATATAGGTTTAGTGGTTTATGAGCTATGTACGTTAAATTTATTAGGTAATATCAGGCATAATCTTTAAATGAGCAGAGGCGAAAATACTACGAATATTAAATTTTAAATGAAATAAATATTTGACTTCTCAAACGAATATTTTAGCGCATTAGTTATTTTTAATTTTGACAACCCATTGTTTGTACTGCTTTCCAAAATAGTTATCCGTTACATTAGTGTATACAGCCAATAATGGTTAAGTACCACCCCGCTTAAGTGCCAATTTCTCTTATCAACCTGTGTCTTAGTCATTACACATCTATCGTTTTTAAAAAAAACAAACATAGAAATTATTCTTTTAAGTGCAACTCACTTTTGTACCACACAATTTTGTTCTTCATTCAAAAATTTATTAACGAATTTTCCTACTTATGTACCGCTTCAAAAACCTTTATGATATTTTTTATTGAACCACATGCAATCTGTTCCTGTGTTAATCAAAATTTAATTTGTAAACAATATGATCTCATGTTGCATTGCGTATAAAGCAAATTGTTTTTATACTCTCGCAACTTGTTGCTACAGAGTATAATAGTTTTGTTCACCTAACGGTTGTTTGTATCACCTAAAACTAATCTTCTTTTCTATAATACAAATGGGTCTTAATACCAGTTTAGGTGCTAAATTTTTTATTAAATAATTATGCTTAGGATTATTCGTTCTTCGAAAAGATTTGAATAAATAATATTTAACTTACCAGTGATGTTTTCGAACTGTTAATGAAAATTTTATACGACATTCCTGGCAGACATCTGATTCGGACCATGGGGATTCTTGAGGCAGCTGATCAAGAAGCTTGTGTAAAAGTTGATCTGTGGCCAACTTAAAATTAAAAATGCTAACCCCGTCCCCATTTTCCATACCAAGACAGGCCCCATACTTCACTAAAGCTTTGCATAAAGGCGACTGCCCTCTCATAAAAGCTAGTAATAAAGGCGTATTCCCATCTGCGTCTGGTTTATTTATCGGATATTTTGGCATGCATTCAATGAATAGGTCACAGATTGCAGCCGCTGAAGTATCTTCTCCAGTTCGGCACAATTCATGAAGTGGTGTTCGCCCTTTGTGATTTACAGTTTCCGCATCAATTCGTGATTCTGTTAATAGTTCTCGAACAATACTTAAAAATCCTCCACGAACAGCAACATGTAAAGCATTATTTCCGTCACTATCAACTGCGTCATAGTCTGCGTTATTCTGTAACAGTGCTGATACCGCAGCTAAATTACCCCGGTCAGCTGAAATATGAAGAGGTGTCTTTTGAGTTGCATCTGTTTCACTAACGCGTGCTCCTGCAAGAATAAGTGTTCTCATTATCATTTCATTTTGCGAAGATGCAGCTAAATGTAAAGGCGTAGACTGATTCACATCATGAACTCTTGAATTGACATCTACTTGAACGGATAATAAAAAAAGAACTCCTTCCAGATCATCTTTTAGTATGGCTAAATGAAGAAAATTACGTCCACGATTATCCATTTGCTCTGCAGCATTTGGAAGACGTTCCAAAATTCGTTCTGCGGCTTTGTGGTTTCTAACAATAAGGGCTTGGGCAAAAGGAGTATTTCCGTCATGATCTCGAATTCTCAAATCAATATTTGGGTGGCATAGTAAAATAGAGATAATATCTTCGTGCTGATTTCTAATGGCTATGTGAATAGGAGTTTGATTGTTGATGTCTAATGCATTAACATTCGCACCGTGATCAATTAAAGCTTGCAATACTTTTGTTAAGCCCCAATGGCAGCAAACATGTAATGGAGAAGCTTTTTCGTTAGCTTCATCTCCTCCTTCCCCTTTTGGACCAGGCTGGCGGGGTGAATCAATATCGCATTGACTTTTTATCAAAAAAATTGCTATTGATTCATTGTTTTCATCTATGGCTCGATGTAGCATAGTTTGCCTACAGCCTTCAGGTCCAATATCCCAGCAGTCTGTATCAACACCATGACGTAATAAGATTTGAGCAATATCTTCATATCCAAGCTCTAAGCTTGTCCAAAGTGGTGGATCCCTCATGTTGTCATTAAATGACTTTAAAGCCACTCCTTTAGCACATAAGTTATCAACTACTTTCGGTAAATGAGAGTATATAGCCAGCTGTAGAGGCGATTTTTTGTCTCCTTTTTATACCCATAAAAAAATTATTAATATACAAAAAAGTAATAACTTATAAAATAATAGTTATACCAGTTAGGAAATTTGCATCAGCGCCATTTTGCAAAAGCAAAATTGCAGTGTCCGCGTCCTTATTTAAAATTGATTGATGCAAAAGTGTCATATTTTTATCGTTTCGAGCATTAACATTCGCGCCTCCTTCTATTAGGATAGAAACAAGATGGCTAAGTCCTAATTCTATACTAAGGCTTAACGGAGTATTCCCATTCTCATCTTTACAATCAAAGTTTGGTGGTTCCCCTGAAGCGCATGATTTTTGATTTACAATTTTTTTCAAAACATCAATAGCATTAGCTTCCACTGCTATGTGAATAGGTGTCCTCATTTGAGATTTGTGGAACTGAGCATTTGAACCAGCACCGACTTGTAATAATTTTTCGGCTAAATTTGATAAGTTCATTTGTGCAGCTATATGAAGTACAGTAAATCCTTCGGCATTGACGTGACTAAGATCTGCATAATCTGCCAAAAAAATTGCCGAATCCTCCAAACTCTTCTTTGCCAAAACTTGCATCAAATCGTCCTGAGTCGAAGCTTTAATTGGGTTGACGTTAGCTCCAAGTTCTATTAGTTTTAAAGGCAATTTCCATAAATCTATTTTATTTAATAAACACAATTCTAAGGCGGTGTTTTCATTATTGTTTTGCAAATTAATATTAATATCAGGCCTAGAAACCAGCATGTCTATTATTTTGTAGTTACCAGATAATATTGCTATATGAAGAGGGGTTTCACCTCGGTTATTTTGTACATTAATATTTGGATTTAGAGAAAGTAACTTTTCACTAATATTTATTATTGACTTATACTCATCTCGTTCAGTTTCTCTGGAATTATACTGAGAAAGCATATGTAAGGCAGTGTTTCCCGATTCCCTGCAAAACGAATTTAAATAAGTTTTATTTATGCGGTTTTTAATAATTAATATACAATATAAATGTATGTCATGCCAATTTTCTTTAATATATAAAAATAAATTCCTATATTTTTATATCTATATATATTATACATATGTATGAGTATTGCTCTTCATTATACTCTCGCAACCTGTTGCTACAGAGTATAATAGTTTTGTTCACCTAACGGTTGTTTGTATCACCTAAAACTAATCGAGTTAGATATAGGGTTATATGTATATAAATGATCAGGATGAAGAGACGAGTTGAAATCCGGATGACTGTCTGTCCGTCTGTCCGTCCGTGCAAGCTCTAACTTGAGTAAAAATTGAGATACCTTTATGAAACTTGGTAGACATGTTTCTTGGTACCGTGAGACGGTTGTTATTGCAGATTGGCGTAATCGGACCACTGCCAAGCCCACAAAACGCCAGTAATCAAAAACAAATAAATTGCCATAACTAAGCTCCGCAATAAGATACAAAACTGTTATTTGGTACACAGGATCACATTAGGGAGGGGCATCTGCAGTTAAATTTTTTATGATTAAAGTGAGCGTGGTCCCGCCCCTAATAGGTTTAATGTGCATATCTTCTAAACCGCTAATGCTATAATAACAAACTTCACTGGAAGCAAATGTTTTTAGAACCTCTACCTACAGTGTGAAAATAGTTGAAATCGGGTGGCAACTCCGCCCACTCCCCATATAACGGTACTGTTAAAAACTACTAAAAGCGCGATAAATCAAGGACTAAATACGCAAGAGACAATAAATTTTATCTCTGGGATGGTATGAGATGACTTTATAGGTACCGCGTTCAAATTAGACAGTGGGCGTGGCTCAGCCCAATTTTAGGTGAAAACCCATATCTTGGGATCTGCTTAACCAATTTCAACCAAATTCGGTACATAACACTCTTCGCATATCTTTATGTTATAGTGCGAAAATGAGCGAAATCGGATTACAACCACGCCTATTTCTCATATAACACCATTTTTAATTCTATTTGATTCTTTCACTTTCCAGTATGCAAATCAAGCAGCAATGATTGTATCGGGGTAAAACTTTGCGTGAATAATACGTTTAAAGTATGCCACTTTGAGACCAAAAATTGTCTAAATCGAACCAAAACTGTTCAAGACCCTAAGTACTAAATATGTGGACCCCAATGCCTATAGTTGACCTTATACCGAAAATATCAGTCATTCCACAAAGAAATCTCAAACGAGTATACCATTTGACTTTGCGAGAGTATAAAATGTTCGGTTACATCCGAATTTAGCATTTCCTTACTTGTTTTCAATTAATTTTGTTTCTGTTAAAATGGCACTTACGCGAATTCAATTGTTATCGGTCATTCGATTTGTATAATTTTTAATTGGAATGCGATTTAAAGAATATTTTTGGATGAGAGAAGAGGGGCAGGAATCGTTAGGTACTTTGAGAGTAAAGAAAGAATGCCCGATAATCGGATGCTGCGCTCGCAGAGTCAGTTCGAAAAGTTGGGACGAGAAGAACTTGGTGTTCTTAAAGAAAATAAATAAGTAAAGTGAGATGTGCTTAAATGAAATAAATAAGTGTCAATCATAAATCCGACTCCGAATATCTCCCCTACATCAGAAGTAGGATCGGCTGAGCCTAGAGTTCAAGATTCGGGCCAGATCTTTGCAGCCCTTGAAGCACAGAACCGGTATATAATAGATATGATCAAGTCCATGTAGACTCCAAGGTCGTTAGCAGACGCATGGTGTACAGCGGTGGTCCTGATTTTTGCTGAAAATACCTTTGAAGGCCGCTCATTTGTGATAACGTTAAGCAAGGCGCTAGACGGTAGCACTTCACAATGGTTATCCCAAATCTGTTTCGCATGCATAACGTGGACACAATTTAAAGAGCTCTTTTTTAAACGCTTCGTGAGAGTGGAGACAACTACAACGATTTTACTGAACGTTTTCAATGGTCGTTCTAAATCGGCAGAGGGATTCGCAGAATATGGCAGTAGAATTATTACGTTACTCATGTCCAAGTAAAAAGCTAACGACTTGGAATAAATCGCAGTGTCAGTAACGTTGGCACACATGGCGAAAATCGAAACCATGTTGTTGAATAGTTTAGTAAATGCACGACACATGCTGAATCGAAATATCACTCGCACGAATTTGAGACTTTGGCAGTTGTCAATGAAATTTTCATCATTATTTACAGGGGCGTAAATTTGTAGAATTTACTTTTTGCAATTCGCTAAGAGCTAGTCGTACAAAATCCGACCAATTACCGCGGGTGCCTTTCTACAGTCGTTCTTTGATATCCAATATACAAAAGGAGAACTAATGGTAAACGTAAATTTTGTATCAAGGAATCCGCTGATTGCAGAATGTAGAAGTGTGGAAAAAAATTGTTGAAAAACGGATTGAATTGTCTGAGGTAACTGATAATTGGCTAGGTTCTGAACAACAGCGTGATCCGGAGATAACAAGAGTAAGTTATCAGCTAAGCTAAAAAATAACGAAATGCCTGAAAATTTAGATAAAGCCTATGAATTGAGAAAAGGAGTTTTATATAGAAAAATACAAAGAAACGGTAAAACCAAATGATTGCCCGTTATCGCTAGGGCATTTTCATGGGCAGTGACTAATCACGTCCACGAATCAATTAAGCATTTAGATTGGAAGAAAACGTTGGATAAAGTCTATGGATTTTATTGGTTCGAAAATATATCGTAGGTTTGTCAAAAATTGCATCACCTGTAAATTAGCTAAGCCACCAGTTGGATAAAAAGCAGGCTGAATTACATCCGACTCCTAAGGAAGACATTCCGTGGCACACAGTGCATATACCATAGACATAACTTAAAGGAGTACAAGAGGATAAGAAAGAAAGAGTGTTTGAAAAAGTTCCAGCGATTGTAGTTAAGACCAAGAATAAAGGAACGGATAAAAAACTATGCTCAACTAGTTAAAAAAAATATTTCTACTAATACAAGTGCTCAAATAAAAAATGTAATGACAACAAAATCGGGTGCAGTGATAGTTAAGTGTAAAAGCAAGCAAGATGTCTCAAGAACCAAAGACCTCTCAAGAACCAAAGACCTACTGACTGAAAAACTATAAGCAGCTAATTTCAATTAATTAAAAGGACGATTAAACTGATTCAACAGAATGTATGGGCACATAATGTTTACATACATATGTGTATGCATACATATCTGAATAAACAAACGGCGGCGGTTTTGGTACTCTAAGACTAAGTCTATAAAGGAAAACGAAAATTTTAGATAATTGCCATTTTTTTAACTCTAAAAAGGACCCATATTAGCTTTATACTCCAGCTCCAACATATTTCCTAGTTCCGTGCTGTTTGGAAACAGAAAAAGTGTTACTGGACCAAATCCTGAAAACATTGTGAATTGAGCAACTGTTTGTAGCCTGATTCGGGCAAAAGGGCCAAATGGGGTAGTACTTTTATATTCTATTCGACTTTATGTCATTGGCACACACATTGTGTTTGATTTTCAATTCTGTAGGAACTGAATGAACTACTTCGCGTGGTATTTTATTATTTGCTCGTCCCCTTTACATATTTCACATGAACATTGCCATTGATTTCTTTGATTGGACATGAATGCTGGGTTTTTATTAAAATCTCAATTATATTATTTGTTGTATTAGCTAATAGCTTGAGGTTTAAAAAAGTTATTATTTGTGTCATGTTGACGACTTTTTGGCTTAGCTACCTTTTTGTCTGCTTGCTCTGCCATTCAATATTGAGTAGTGGCCATTTGAAAATGACAAACAATTAATAACCTTGGAGTATCGGTAATTTTTGAAAATGTAGGCTGGTACAACTTACCTAGATGGTACAACTTTTGTGCTTGTGAATGTTTAGAATGGTCTACGTAAACCTTCATCCATAAATTTTAATTATTATAATTTTTTTTCACAAACGCCCAATGACCGCACAAACCAATTTTATATTTGTTTAAAATTACATACATATATCCGTATATAGTTATATAAATGTGCCCGAAATTGCTTACATGTGTAAGAATGAAATTGATGAACGAAAAGTGTTGCACGCTTCTTTTGAGAGGAGTTTTCAAATATGATGTACTTAGATACATACATGCGTAAGTTATATAAGTTTCAAATAAAACTATATATTTAGTTAATTTCCATTTGCATTTTTAAATTCAGAAATAGCCACTGATTGAAGAAAGACGTACG